AAGTTAATGTAAAGGATGCTCTTTGAGTAGAAGTTAGTACATTTAAAAAAGTTGACCCAGAAAATTTCATTAGTGTCATCAAACTCACTGTATTCTTCGTAAAGCCTTTTTTATGTCAATACACATGAATTATTATTAGAGTTTTCTGTTTTTACAATCCATAAAAATAGATATAAACTTCAAGATACTTAAACCATATGTATATTCTAAGGTTTGTAGTCTAATATAAGTGTGTTTTTGGTTTATTCTTTTACTTCTCAATAGATTATCAGTCCCTATCATTTTAAAAGTATGAGTATCTCTCAATTCAACATTGTTTTTCATTAAAATTATAAACACATTCAAAGTACGTCACACGCTCATATAATTTTGAGATGCAGGAGAAAATTTGTACCTCAGGTTGATGATTGTGGTGGTGTTTCATTCTCTGAGCTAAATGTTTTGGCTGTGGAGCTTTCATTGTTCTTCTGAACAATATCATCAGCATAAGCTTCAGAGAACGAAACACCATCACATTCAAAGTACATTTTCATTTACTAGAATTTCTAGTGTTCTTTGATGTTTTAGGCGAAATCCTTATTTTTGATATATACTTACTAGATTTAATGTGCTATCATTAAAAGAGATAGTTCTAACAACTTTTTGTCCTCTCTCAAATATGCCCCCACTGACTGCAGTTCAGACGAGGTTAAAGATGAGTTTTACAGAAAGCTTTCGGACCTCCTCCAAAAAGCTAGGCGCTCTGATATAGTATTATTGGCGGGTGACTTCAATGCTCAAGTAGGTAGACTAAGTGAAAATGAAAGACACCTAGGTGGATGTTATGGTGTCGCAGCTCAGAGAACAGACAATGGTGACCGTCTGTTGCAAGTATGCTCAGACAACCGCCTATTCTTAGCAAACACTAACTTTAGGCATAAGGAAAAGCATCTGTTGATCCGGCGACCTCCAAAGTCGTCTCAACGTTGGACTCAACTTGATAACATCGCCATCAGCCACCGATGGAGGGGTTCGATAGAGGACTGTCGCTCGTTCTGGGGCACATGTTTAGATTCAGATCATGCCCTAGTGCGAGCGCGTATTTGTGCATTTATTCTTTGTGTTCTCTCAAATCCTAATCTTCTGGATTCTTCAACACCTCTAGTTTTGACTTTCTAAACTTTTCTCATTGAATCATACTTCTTGAATAATATCTTGTAATCCTAACCTCTCCGATTACTTCTAATACCCTTACTAACTCTTCTACTATTGGATTTGAATTGACAATTATATCTCTGTGCCGATGTGGTATGGCGACATGAACTGATGTACACTTACGTACAAAGTTCTACGTTGCAACTGACTGACTGACCTCTCTCAAATATTAGATATTCATGAATGGTTTCAGAAATTATATGACCTTTTTTCTTAGTGTACTAAATATTCTAGTTATTATTCTAGTTATTCTAGTCATTGTATTATTAATCAATTGAATATTGTTAAAATTAAGAAAAAAGAACTTCTCAGTCAAATCGAATTCTTACATTGAATTTTTCCTCTTCTCTCTTTTTTTTAGCTTATCTCTCAAGAATCATCATCTAGTCAACAATTATCTGAATATCAAAGTCAACATACGGAAGATAAACCACGTATCAATATCAGCATAACACTTCAACGATATCCTGATAATAAAAATACAATACACCGATCAACCATGATCAATAATAATAGTCGAAAATTGAACAATATGATTGATTCATTAAATCGTAGCACTACATTAAATCATTATCCATCTACTAATGTGGATACAATGAATTTAAATATGAATGAAAATTATGGTAGGTTATTTTGTATTTATTAATTTTCACGATTAATTATTTCTCTATATATATTTCTTCTTCTTTTTTTAATATTTTTATATAGATCAGTTTATTAATTCGTTACCAATGGTAAGTGTGTTCAATACTTTCATTATTATTTGTTTTAATGAATTACTTATTTATTGATTACAATGTTCAATGTGAGTACAACTTCATTAGTTTAACTATACAATATACCTTGTTATTGTCTGTGCAAAAATATGCGGCTTACGGTGAATCAGTCGTCTAATTAAAGTATTTGTTTGTCAAGTTCGAATTGTGTTGCGAGTAACCCGAGCCTTCATAAATTTGGTCTAATCAGAAACACGTCGATATACTCATCTCTATTTGACATCGTTTGCTGGAAGTTTAATGATACTACCAGTATGTTTAAATCGAAAAAGCTGAATGTATGGGTTCGAACCAAGGATTTAAAAAAAAATTCAGTCAGTCTAGAATTATAATATTTAATAGAAAAATTACATTTCTTATAGTTTACGTATTACTTTAATTGAAAATTCTATACATTGATCTTTCAAAAATATATGTCAATTAGAGTAGATGCAAAGAAATGAGAATTAATTTTTTATTAAACGTTTACTTAAAACAAGAATAGAAAAGTGTCAATGAGAGAGAACTATAACATGAAATTAATGCGGCGTAGAACAATGTGTTGTTTAGAATAAGATAGGAAGTTATTGTATTAAGCGATAGTGCTTAGAATTTGACTGACTCTTGAACTCAAACTAAAATCTAATTATTCATTAAACATCTCGGTCCAACTTCATCAGAATTGCATATTTTGGTCTGATCACCTTTTGTTTCTTTTGCTCTTGTCGTATCCCTGACCGTTTTACCAATATCAGGTGACAAATACAAAACACCAATCAGAATTACGTTTGTCAGCTGCTGATTGGTCCACAACCCGATAGTTTCTATTCTGCCTCTTAGTTCAGACGTCCTTGGCCAATCCCCACAAAATTCACTGTATATCAAGCTGACGTAGTTTGATACCAAATACACCAGACCACTTCATATCACAGAATGATGAGATACATTCATACATGAGTGAGACAAGATTGTCTGTGAATGCGGGAGATTTAATAATAAATCGGCAATAGATTAAGAATAACAATACATCATACAACAATAATTAATGAGTTAGTCAGAAAATAATAATAAAAGGAATATGCAAATATATAGTAATCTAATTACCGAATAAATATACAGTAAGGTCTGTACGCAATAATAATCCATAGATCAGTTCTGAAGGTCACCATTCCTCTAATCTTCTCCTTGATATATCAGGTATTATTATCACTTCGTCTTATATACCATAGTTTGATGAACTGTGATTTAATGAAGCGATGAAAAACACAATATTAATGTCGATTGACAATCTCTATACTTTTATAACTGATATGTTCGGCACTTAGGATGCTTGATGCTATTACGAGTTTACCTTAGTCGATAAACGCGAACGATACTTTTACCAGCTTCCAGGAAGGCTACCTTGAATCCAACGGTAAAACAGAAGTCTTGGTAAGCGTAGAAAGTATATTCTACAAACACCCAGCAATCCAGTACAATCAAGCATACAACTCTCGTTTATTTATACAACATAACAACGTCCTTGAGACAGTTAAGAAAATAGCATACTAAAATACACTGTAGCCAATCACAGCCATTGATTTTCCTGGTGGGAATTGAAATCTCAAGGTCATCTGATCAGCCCCTGCTGGCGAAACGTGAAAACCAAAATACGGCATTATCAAGCGAATTTTGGGGATCTAACATCCCCAACACTCCTCCCCTTTTTAATAGCTTGTTCTCCTGGGGTCGACTTGCATCTTGACTATTGTTCGCCGCTGTCTGAGGGGATACCTTCGGGAACGAAGAACAGCTTGCTGCTGAGTTTCTTCTCGTGGCGGGGCTCTCGGTAGGTTGAAGGTATCAAGCAAGATGTCAAGGGGAAGGCTTTCTGCTCTTGATGGGCGATCTGGGGCTAGCCGTCTGCGTATCTGATTCCGATGACGTGACCATTTATCACCTCCTACCTCTACTTCGTACATAACTCGACCAACCCTTCTGACCACTCTCGCTTCTACCCAAGGACCATGGTTCGTTCTGTAGTCGCGGGCAAACACAGGGCATCCCACCTCGTAAGCGGATTGTCTTTGCTGCTTTGTCTCTACTGATGAGGGTGCATTGGTCGGATGCATCAGGCTGTGGATCGTTTTCAATCTTCTTCCCATCAGGATTTCAGCTGGGGACTTTTGCTCCGGTAACAATTCATTTGGTGTTGTCCGATAGACGTACAAGAAATTTTGTAACGTTTCGGCTGGCGTCCCCTCCCCTTTTGACTTGAGCAGTGCTCTTTTAAACGTATCCACAAACCTTTCCGCCTGCCCATTCGATTGCGGGTGGTATGGTGGCGAGCGTAAGTGTTTAATAGCTAGCCGTTGACAGAAATTCTGGAATTGGGAAGAGGTGAATTGAGAGCCATTGTCGGATACGATCACATCTGGTATGCCATTTCGTGAGAAAATTTCAGTTAGGAGCTGTATAGTCTTAGTTGTAGTGGGCGGCATAACGGGGCTGATTTCCGGCCATTTAGAAAAGGCGTCGACGACAATTAAATACATAGTTCCATTTATTGGGCCAGCGAAGTCGACATGTATCCTGGACCAAGGATGCTCAGGTTTGGGCCATGAAACCGGCGGAATTTTGGCATTCATCTTTGCCGCCTGCTGACACCGGATGCATTTTTCAACCAACGCTGTGACATGTTGATCCATGTGAGGCCAGTATGCATAACTCCTGGCTATGGACTTCATTCGTTTAATCCCAGGATGACCAAGATGGAACTGTCTCAGCACTTTTGCACGAAGGGATGCTGGAACCACTACTCTTTCACCAAACATGAGACAATCGTTCACGATGCATAGTGAATCCCGCCGCTGATACAGTTGCTTGATGTCACCTTCAAACTTTTTCGACGGCCAACCTTTAGTGACATATTTCATCGTCATCTTGATGATGGGGTCGTTTCTAGAAGCATTTTGTATGTCTGTTGCAGACACCGGTAATGCGCGAACTGCGGTTGTCAGATAACATTCTGCGTGGTTCTTCGTATACGCTTCTGGGTCATGTCGTTGTGATACCAGGTTGCATATGGTATTTAGCGGGACATCAGCCAATTTTAGCTGGTCGAACCAATCTAAACCAAGTAAATTTAGATCAGCTGGCGTTATATAGCATACCCCAGTAAACGACGAATCTCGGAAAGCAACTTTACATTCCAATTGTCCTAACAGACGAAGATAATTACCACATGCTGTACGAGGCTTTTGTGTTGTGTGCTGCAGGCTTGGGCTGCCCAATTTGGTCCAATTTTTGCGTGAGAGGATAGTGACATCAGATGCAGTATCTATTTGCATTCTACACAAATAACCGTTAATATTAAGAGTAATAAATTTCCTCTCACCTGGTGATGAACTTTGGCAGGAAGATATTAGGCTCAATGCATTGGTACTGGATCTAGGAACAGGCTTCTTAGCACTTCTGGATCGCTTTGGCTTTTTCTGTAGGCAAAAGCCATCTTTATGACCGATGACTTTACACTTCCTGCATCTATGCTGCCTAAATGGGCAGTTCCGTACATAGTGCCATGAACCGCAGTGCCAGCAAGCAGAAGGTGGATTCATTTTGGGTTTTTGGGCCGAATTGGAATTTTTCTTTTCACTAATGGAATGCACGTATGATGAGAGGCCCTTGTTTTCGACCATGGAGGTATCATGCTTCAAGTTTACTAATCTCTGGCACTCTGCAGTTATTTCTTGAAGCGAGATGTTTGGGCACTGTTCAATTTTACTTAGGATTCTGGTTCTTATATCAGCATCGTCGGGAGATTGTAAGCTGCACACAAACACAAGGCACTTAAACTGATCTTCCGTCATTGATGATAATTTAAATCGTTCGCATTCACGATTTACTAAGCCAGCATGCTTTACCCAGTCATCTTCATTTGACTTGATTATTTTGAGGCATTGATAACGAATATTAAAGAGAGATGACTGTTCAGAGAAGATTTGCGACAGCGTATCAATTGTAGCATCAAAAGAGAAATCTCGTGGGTTCTTTGGGAGGATGAAATTACTATAACGTTCGTGTTCGATTGTGCCGAGCTTTCTCAAAAGGATTCTGACTTTGGTGGCGTCATCAAGATTGTTGAGGTCGACCTTGAACAAATCCTCATACTTCTTAAACCAAGACTCGAAAGTCACACCAGCAAGGCCATCAAAATGAAATTCATGAATGGAATTAACTATCGAGTCTGTATGCGGATTATATGAATCATCGGCAAAACCTCTGCGATTCAAATTCATTTGTTTCATTAACAGCTCCAACATACGTTCCTGAAACTGTTCATATCGTTTACCTTGACGTTCCAGTAAAGATTCTAACTGTTCAAGATTAATTGACATTGTGAATTGTGAGCCCCGTCGCCACTGATATGTTTTGTGGATATGGTTTTTACCCCGTCGCCACTGATATGTTCGGCACTTAGGATGCTTGATGCTATTACGAGTTTACCTTAGTCGATAAACGCGAACGATACTTTTACCAGCTTCCAGGAAGGCTACCTTGAATCCAACGGTAAAACAGAAGTCTTGGTAAGCGTAGAAAGTATATTCTACAAACACCCAGCAATCCAGTACAATCAAGCATACAACTCTCGTTTATTTATACAACATAACAACGTCCTTGAGACAGTTAAGAAAATAGCATACTAAAATACACTGTAGCCAATCACAGCCATTGATTTGGCTGGTGGGAATTGAAATCTCAAGGTCATCTGATCAGCCCCTGCTGGCGAAACGTGAAAACCAAAATACGGCATTATCAAGCGAATTTTGGGGATCTAACATCCCCAACAATAACTCAGAAGTTTATAAATTACATTTGTAATTCTTTCAAATGAACAGTCATTGGAATTAGTTACATTTTACTCACTGAGATTATTCAGATATAATGTTTACATCAGTTGTTTTCTATATATACTTAGCTCCGAATTTTTGTTAAACTCCACTACATTCAAATGGTAATGAAAGAAAGTTTAGACAGAATATTAGTTTATTCACTTTTGATACTTCCATCATACGCAAGTTACATATCAAAGCTACATGTTATCAAGGAGCTAGTTAGCTATATCATCTATACATCTTTAGTCGCGATCGAGTCGCAATTGACTATGATCATCACTATGAACTAATTATGAACCCGTCACTGAGAAGAAGGGTTATTCCATACGGAAAAATATATTTGCTGGCGATTTCGTGGTATCGAAAGAATACCGAAATCATGCCACATAATAGAGGAGTGGAATTATAGAGACAGGGGAACTGAATTGGCGACAATACAAACGGAAAGTTTGCGCGTACAGATAGTAATAAACAAAGAGGTTCACTATACATCTTTGAAGACTTCGTGTAATATTTTGTTCAGTGAATTAGACTACATCATACACTTATACTTGAATGTGAGTCGGTATGTCTAAAACATTACTATAATACAGATTAATTTGTACGTTTGTTTGATCTTATTTAGATAGTGTGAATATAAACTAATACTACTCAAGTGAAACGTTCTAAATAATTCTGTCATATTATGTATTAAATGCTTAAATGTGATTTACTGATTTTCTTTTGGGGCGGGCTTGTTGTGAATTTCTTCCCTAGGAAAAAACAATTCAACAAACCAGTGAAACATTTGAACACGATAACTCTATATATTCTTCAAAACTGTTGAATTTTTCTTCTCAGCCAGTGGATGGTACACTTAAATGGCATCATTATTGTTATACTATTGAACTAAGAAGTGTAAAAAATATTCAAGGTTTCGACAACAATGAATTACAATTGTACGCTAGGTATGTGATATGAATTCGACTGATCTTGGATTTAGACGCTTCCTACATTTTTTTAAAATAATTAATAGGTTTTTCGAAATATTGTTATTGATAAATAATAAAGATTTTAATTTGTTTACGAAATTCAACTGTTATATCAGTATTTTGTGGTATTATGCTTTTTTCGCATTATAGAATTATGGAGATCGTTGTTTTGCATTGAAATCACGAATGAATCATTGTTAGTAGATCGCTATTAGAAACCTGGAATCACTCTTCAGCCGTTTTGTTCTGGTATGGGTGACGTTGCATAAAACCTTTAGATTGATTAGAGTCAGTCAGACATTAACACCGTTGGATGCCGGTTCAGTGGTCCAGAGGTTAGGCGTTCGCACTCAAAGCGAAGATCCTGAGATCGATTTCTGCGATTGGTAGGAGTCGTGGATTAGCGCTACTGATGAGTCCCGTACCAGGACAAAACCGCCGTCCAGTACTTCCAGGTGTCTGATAGTGGTCCACAAATGATTCATTTAGTATTATTGTTTGTCAACTTAAGTTGAACTTTATTAAAGTACCTGAACAGCACGCAAGAGTGAGTGAGGATAGGTCTTTATAAGCTGAATAGTTCATACTGCATCGAGCGTGATTATTGTTTGCTGTGATTTTTTTTTTCATTCTTCCAATTAAAGGAATATTCATACAATTCATTAAGTAGGTTGCAATTTTTTATTAGAGAGAAGATAATACTAATGTAGACACTAGGAATGAATGTATACTTACAACGAAAGACAATTGGGATTTGACTCACACCAATAAGTAGTGGTATTTATTTCCATAGAGTTTTGCAATAATAGTCCACCTGGAGCCCCTCTGGAGCTACTTCTGGTCCAAAGCCCGGATAAAGGAGGAAGGTTTAGCATGGGGTTAGCGCCCCCATCCCGTAGAAAACTAATTCGTCAAGAAAACGCTAACAATAAAAATAATTCAAACCATTTAAACTTTTCCCTGAGAGTTAGAAGATCTCCATTCAGAAGAGTTATCACTTCTCGTGTTGAAAGCCGAGTTCCCTCCGAGGTCACGAGGTGATGGCTCCCTCTGACAACCAGATCAACCATTCTTTTAGGTACATGGAATGTTCAGACAATGCGTAAGACCGGAAGACCGTTCCAAATTTCTGCAGAGACGAAAAGATACAGCCTGGAGGTGCTTGGGAACACATTAGACTTAGGTTGGACAACTAAGGTTAAATTCGGGAGAGCTTCTGTTATACTCAAGCCATGAAGAAGAAACTTCTCTACGTATGCAAGGAGTCGCACTGATGCTAGCCAAAAAAGCACAAAAGACACTAATAGGATGAGAATCTCATGGACCCAGGGTCATTAAAGCATCATTCAAAACAAAGAAAGAGTACGTTACAATGAACGTCATTCAATGCTACGCACCTACCAACGACTACAATGATGACGATAAGGGTCAATTCTACGAAAGGCTGCAGTCAATCATCGACGGATGCTCACCAAAGTATTTGACCATTCTGATGGGAGACCTAAATGTCATGGTTGTCATGGACAACACTGGATATGAAGACATCATGGGACGACATGGACTGGGAGAAAGGAACGAAAACGGTGAGATTTGCAAACCTATGTGCCTTCAACAAACTGGTCATCGGTGGCACAATATTCCCACACAAACGCATACATGAAGCTACATGGATTTCACTGGGTCACACTACTCAGAACCAAATCGACCATATCCGTATCAATAAAAATTTAGAAGAACTATGGAGGATGTGAGAACAAAGAGAGGGTGTGATATTGCCTCAGATCACCACTTGCTGGTCCCCAAAATGAAACTCAAAATCAAGAAATACTGGACCGCGGGGAAGATAACATCACAAAAGTTTAATTACGACCTTTCTTCGGGATACCGTAGAACTCAACAAATTCAAGATAGTCCTCAGCAATAGGTTCCGGACCTTGTGCAATATACTCAATGGAGAGGAAGCAACATTGGAGAACGGTCGGAAAGGGATCAAGGAGGCAATCCCTTCAAGATGTCACGAAGTTCTGGGTCACAAGAAGTACCATCACAAGGAATGGATCTCTGTTGGTACTCTTGGGAAAATTGAGGAAATGAGGAACAAGAGGGTAGTAATCAACGTCAGCCGAACAAGAGCAGAGAAAGTTAAGGCATAAGGTGAATACGCAGAAGCAAACAAGCGAGTGAAGAAGAGCATCAGAGCCGGCAATTGAAACTATGAGGAAGATCTAGCAATGACGGCGGAGGAGGCTCCAAGAGAAGGAAACCTTTGACAGTTGTATTATAAGCGAGGAAGCTAGCGGAAACTTGGCAAATGACAGAAGCCATCATCCACATGATACAGGTATTTACAAACAGTTGTCTACGCAAGATATTTCGAATCCATTGGTCGGAAACACCAACAACAACAACCTACTGCGTGAGAGAACAAACCAGATTGAAGATAAGGAGGAAATCAGGAAAAACCTCTGGAGGTCAGTACGATGCACGTTGAGGAAAGCATCCAACTGAATCACAAGACGAATCATCACCTGGAATCCTCAAGGCCAACGGAACAGAGAAAGGCCAAGAAAGACATAACGCCGAGAATTGGGGACAGACATGTAAAGAATGAACAAGAATTGTGCAGAACTAGAAAGAAGGGCTCAAGACACAGTAGGTTGGAGAATGCTGGTCGGCGGCCCATGCTCTATTTTGGGTAACAGGAGTATGTAAGTAATTAAGTAGTAATTAATGTTACGTTGCTCGGTCCTTAATGTTCTGATATAAATCTGTCGGTTATTTTGCGATATAGCTAGTAGTCAAAATTGATGACCATACATTGCACTTCACCCCGGCTTCATATCAACTGATTGGAAACAGTGGAGCGAAATTTCTCGATACTGGTCAAATATTTCAGACCTAAAAAACGAACTTGTCACGGACCTCATATTTAAGTGATATCATTCATGACTGCTAGACATTGACTTTCATTCTCAAAAGCCCTTTGACAATCGTTTGAATTCGATCTCGTAAACCTCATGATTGTAGTCCTGTACGATGAGAGCACATCAATTAAACTATCTGGTTTAGGGAATGCATCCAAGTCACACATCATCTCCTTCACTATTGAGTAACTTGGGGTATTTATTCATTTGTAACTTCTGTTGATTATTATCAAAAAAAGTTTTTGTTTATTTTTGGCTTTACAGATATGTGTACCCATTGTTTGGAAGTGGAGCTCCAGTTATGACACTTCCACCAATTTCCATAGCCAGAAATCAAGAGGTTATTTTACCTCATGGATTTTGTGCTTTTGAGTTTGCTGCATCACCTGAAGAAGTAAGATTTAATTTGGTTAAAAAAAATTCATTTCAGTTTGAAACATTGTATAGGTTAACCTTTGTAACACTTCCACCTTATTTTTCAAAAGATATCTTTTTAAAGTTTATTTATTTCAGGATTTTCGAACCACTGTATTTTTTGCTTACTTACTTACTCCTGTCAACCCCAATGGAGCGTTGGCCGCCAACCAGTATTCTCCAACTGTTGTAACGGCTTGCTTAGATATTTTCTAGCTAACTCCTATTGCTTAGTATTCACTGACCACAATACACTGGACAAGTTCCAAAGAATCAAAACACGGTTGAACAGGAAAGATTATATTTCAAATAGCAAGGTTGAATGGAATAAGCAGCCATAGGTGATGGCGAAGGCGAAAATAGATACGACGTTAGTTTATTTATAGCATTTACATGAGAATCTTCTGGATAGAAATTCACGTAACCGACTGGATTAGATTTAGCCAATCAGCACACAGCTAACAGCGCGAGAATTTTCTACCCTGTTCTCCAAGAATCGATCAGGCGTTGATTGGATAGGAAATTAGCCAATCAGCGCGTAGCAACGTAGTTATGCTTTAACTCCATCTTTGTCCCATTAACACCTCCCCTTTGAGAAGATTCGTAGGATCTGGTGCTGGAGTTCAACTGCTTCCTGGGTGCCTTGCCACCCGTACTCTTACGAGCCGCCTGCTTTGTAGGAGCCATATATTTAAACAACCATCGATAGGGCTGCTTCCCCATCGATAAGTGTTGTTGAGGCTCATGAACAGCATATGGTATAGGGCGTCTCGGACGTGAAATAGGTTTGACATCTGCTTTCACTGGTAGGTGAGCTTTCATATTCGTACAGCGGCCAAGGCTATTCTGAAAAACAGAGGCTGACTTCCTCTTCCGTTTTTCTTGTAACCTTTCACCTGTCTTCTTCGTAAGTAACGGGGTGTTCAATGATGAAAACGATATGTTGCAGACACTGTTAATGGGTACATCCATTATTCCCAGTTTTTCTAGCATATCTAGACCAAGAAGATCAAGGTTTGGCCGTTCTGTCAGATAGCATATTCCTGTAAATTTTGTTCCGTTGAAAGAAAATTCACACTGTATCTCACCAACCAGTTTTAACACACCACCTGAAGCGCTTTTTGCTGTTTTCTTAGATGGCTTCATTGGCAGTTTTCCCAGCAAGTTATACGTTTCTTTAGACATTAAGGTGATATCTGATGCCATGTCGATTTGAAGACGAGCTGATGCACCGTTCGTCTGGATAGTAACATACTTTCTCCGAATGTCCTAGTCTATTTGAAAAGCAGCTACCAGAGAAAGTGATTTAGACTCGGCTAATTTCACCACATGTCGAGTACGTTTATGCTACGTCCTGGGCTGAGACGTACGATTCAGTTGACAATGGCCTTCTTTATGTCCACGTTTGTTGCACATCTGACATTTGTTTTTTAAATGGACAGAATCGTACGAAATGCCAATCACCACATAACCAACACCAACCTACTCTGTCCTGGACTTCCCTTTCCATTTCTGAACAATTTTGGTTCATTCTTATGTACGTCTCCATTTCTGGAAGTAATATGTCCCTTGGCCTTCCTCTCTTCTTTTGACCCGGAGGGTTCCGGGTGAGGGCTTGTCTTGTGACGCAGTTGGATACTTTCCGCAACGTGTGTCATATCCACTTCTACCGCTTCTTCCTGATTTCATCCTCCGCTGAAATCTGGTTTGTTCTCTCACACAAGAGGTTGTTCGAGATGTTGTCTGGCCAATGGATCCTAAGTATTTTGCTTAGACAGTTGTTAATAAATACTTTTATCTTTTGGGTGATGGCTTTGGTTGTTCTCCAAGTTTCCTCTGCATATAGTAGGACTGTTTTGACATTTTTATTGAAAATCCTGATTTTGGTGTTGGTTGATAGCTTTTTGGAGTTCCAGATGTTGTTCAGTTGTAGAAATGCAGCCCTTGCTTTGCCGATCCGCGACCTCATATCCTTAACAAATCTACCTTCATTGTCAATAATGCTGTCCAGATATGCAAAGATATTAACGTCATCCAAGGCATCTCCATCAAGTGTGATTTGGTTGGCGCATGTTGTGTTGTATCGGACAATCTTGCTTTTACCTTTATGTATCTTGAAACCTGCTGCTTCACCGGTCGTCTTCTCTTGCATTTGTTTTCGGGTGTTCGATAGAAAATCCAGATCATCTGCGAAGTCGTGATCACTGTACTTTTTAGTCAGTCAAATAATAGATAATTTATTCATATTAGAATAAATATATTTATTTAGTCTATAAATCCTTACATAAGACCAAATCTGAGGCTTCTGTTTGGTAATAGGAATCATGTAACATATTTCACCATATGAAGGACCCATCAGTTGGATTCATCGTGTATTAAATTAGTTGTTACTTGCTCAGGAAAACAATAATTTACTTAGTCAGCTAATTATTATCTCAATGATTATTGCTAAATGGCTGGATAAAACACATACACACGAAATGCTGTTGGGTAAGAAATAAGTCTCCAACGAACTCTGACATTTCTGGTTCCTTTTCAATGCACATAAATTAATTGGCTAGAGTTGCAAAGATCTATTTTAAGTTGAATCGTTATCTCAAAGGCTTATTGGTAGCTATAAATTATTTGAAGTAAGTTTTTGAATAACCATGAAAGATATCAATTCATCCATATTGTTACTCTAGAAGATCGCAATTCCAATGTACAATTGCTTTCATCAGAAAAGATATATCACAAACTATCCGATTAATTCACATTGTGGTTCATATTTAAAAATGATTGGAAAGTTGTGAATAATAATCAGATGATCTTATCAGCATTACAATGATTTCTGAATAATTTTGGACACTTCATTTTTCTGTAATTTGAACGGAAGTTGAAGCAGTACATTTGTATTACTGATTGATGGATAGTACTGATAATTAGTCGCTGCTTTATCCATTGCATACCTACATGAATTGTATTCTAATTTTTGGACCGACAAATGACTCTAATCTTTTTGAGCCACTATGTACATACATATTTAACCTTGTCAATTGCTTATTGATATCTTTGAGTGTTTTTAATATGAGCGCATGTGTGGGTGTGTTTTTATTTGTTTATTATGTACTTTGTTCATCATTTGTCTGTCTAATTATCAATGTTGATTTGTGTTTGATGAAATTCAGTTAGTTGGCTTATTATTTCTCCTATTTTTTATTATTCACATCGATTTCTTTTCATTTCTTATCATCAATTTGGATTATCTAATGTCTGGTTTATAAATTTCTTAAATCTTTTTGGCTGTCGGCTGTTATAAACTTGACAAAACATAGATCTCGCTAAACAATAAAATCGTTCGACTACTGATCAGTTAACAACGTGTATTATACTATAGAAATAGTTAGTCTAATTATTTATTATTTTGTTTTAAAAAAAAGACACTTACCCATTTCGAATTACAGACCTATTGAAATGTACTATGTGTGTATTTTTTTTTGCTACAATCATAGTTAAAAACTCGTCTTCATGACAATCCATTGAAAGTGGAATTTTTCGATCGATCACAGGGCACTTTAGCAACAGATACTCTTGTTGGATATGCATTTATACCGTTAGTATCAATTTTTGAATCACCAATTGTCAAAGGTTAGTTTCTTAATTTAATATTGTTTATTTTTGTTGTTACCATTTTTTTCCCTTCATTAACTCTTCCTATTTGTCTTGAAAATGTATGAACTTGAGCCAATACACTCACACTTCAGGCTGGACATACAGTTCCCATTTGGTTATCTTTTAAGTTATAGCTAAGTCTTATGTGTTCTATTATCTATAAGATATATAACTTATGTTATAACTTACACTAATATGTCAGACCTATACATATCTAGCCTAGATGGTTTCTGGAAAAATCAATCAGTCTATTCAAACATCTTTTGACCTTGTTAATCATCGTTTTGTACTTTTGGTAGTTTTTACTTGTGAGTGTTTACTTAGTATATCGCATAACCAGCTTGTTTTCGCCTGAACTTAGTTATAACGCATCAATTGAGTTGACCCACTCACCTTTTCCGCTTTTATGCTTCTCGTTCCTATGCCCTTCTCCTTACACTATTGAATGAAATAAAGTTTATCCAACTAAAACCGTATTGGGCTTTTGATTGCTACTGTCGCATAATCGTGGTTACCCTAAGAATAATTAATATACAGAAATTAGATGAAAGATTTATGTTATGGGATATTTAATTGTTCACCTAAAATACAGTCAAATCCAAGGTCACTAAAATTGAATAGTTTTCTTTTGCTTTATTTTAGCCACAAAAGAATCATCTACTTTAGTTAGACGTAAAAATGATCATGTCAATGTATTAGCTCAACAAAATAATTTAAATGAATCAAAAGTTATTGGACAACTTGTCTATTCATTACAGTTAGAAGATTTTGGTATACATACTGTCGATAGTAGTAGTACTAATACAACAACATCTGTCATTGATATGACCAAAGGATTAGTTCATCAAATCAATGATGAAATTAAGGTATGTGATGAGAAAAGAAAAGTTTTCTCCTTTCGTTTATTTGCAACTTTATCCAATAAAATCATCTGTCACTTGCAAAAGATTAATGAAATTTCATTATTATTATTGTTCTTATAGCTAAGAAATAGTTGTTTTAACGTATTATGGTAATTATCTTGATCGTTTCTTTCATCTCGTACTCATATTTGATGTGACAACTCCAACAACAGGTTTATCAAGTTTAAGATTATTTTATAACTAACTAAATAAACAAATTTTCGGTCAGTTTTATTTTTATTATGATGAGCCTTCTCATGACAGTTAACAGTAGTAGTGAAGTGTTACTTTTCTTTTGTAGCTTCCATGTTGAATTCATTGTGTTTGCTACTAGCTTGTTCTTACATTAAGTCAGTCAGTTACAACGTGAAACTTCATACGTACGTACATCAGTTCATGTTGTCATACTGCATCAGCACAGAGACGCAATTGTCAGTTCAAAACCAATAGTGTTAGCGATAGTAGAAGTATTAACAGTGACGAAGAAGATTAGGGTTCTGTTGTAACGTTTGCTTAGATAATTCCCAGCTAATTCCTGTTGCTTAGTATTCTCTGACCACAATACACTGTACAAGTTCCAAAGAATCAAGAACACGGTGAAACAGGAAATAGATTGTATTCCAAATAGCAAGGTTAAATACAAATAAGCAGCCGAAGGCAAAGGCAAAAATAGATACGACGTTAGTTTCTTTATAGTATTTACATGAGAAGCTTCTGGATTGTAATTCACGTGATCGACTGGATTAGATTTAGCCCAATCACTGTGCAGCTAGCGCAGTCATGCTTTAATCCATGTTCCACTAACAGGTTCGAAGATATGATTCGAGAAGTATAATTCACTCAGATACGTTTAGAAAGAGGAAGATAGAGATGATCAGGAATTCAGGTTAGAATTTGAGAGAAGACAAAGAGTGGATGCACCTGCGCCATTGAGCCATTTCGTTCAAGGTCTCTAACCATCGGTGACTTTCGTTTCATGGACTCCAACCAGGTAGCCTACATCTACCAATATGACTAAGTCCAATTATCAGTGACTTCATGGATTTGTGCCATGTTTTGGTTTGGCCTCCCCTAGCTTTCTTCCAACCTGCTCTTACACCACATTCATAACACCTGTCCCAGCCACCTCAACTGATGAAGTTTCAATACTTCATGTATTGATTTGCCAACCCTACCCAGTACTCGTTTCCTAACAACAGCATTGTTTACTCGATAGTCCTAAGATGAACGAGCAATGCTTCGGAGACAACGAATAATATCATGCCTCCTAATGCTTAATCTTGGTCGAATTCTATCAGTCTCAAATTGTATTGCATGTGACTACAATTGATAAATGTAAATTGATTGTTTGTAACCATTATTATTTGACTTCTGTTATAATTGATGTAACTCTTCTGATCAGGATATTTTGAAATTAATTCTTGTTCTCTACCTAGAAGTGTATAGAACACATATCAGCATTGACTGTAACCAAACAAATCGATCTAAATAAAATAAATAAGTCTACTCATTATTATCTATTGATGTCAAATAATCGAAACATGTATGTTAATAACATTTATTCTTCTTACACGTTGACAGTCTGAACCTTCAGATATACGATCAACGCGTGAATATCAAGTGGCTATTGAGTTAGAACTATGGCGTGCAGCAGAAGAAGCCAAATTCACTGCTCAATTAAAGAAACGCGAACAGACACTGATGGCTACACTTGCTGAAGAATGGCATAAAAGAGATAGTCAACGCGAAATCCTATGTCGAAAGAAGGTAGGTTTTTAATCATTTTTATCGGTTTATAGCATTTACTAGTGAATCAACATCTTGTATATTTAAGTTGTATCACTAGTAAAACTTGCGTGATCGCTTTTACAAATCTCGGTGCTACTGAATGTTTTATATTACACTTATATTCACGATTATAAATTTAGACATACCAAAGTCTAATGAAAGTGATATTTCATCATGACACAAGGGCAGTATTCAACATGAACAGTGGCGAAGTTTTGGTGGAAATGTTTGTATTCCGGAGGTTTACTGAAAAAATACGCAAACTGTAAAGACGGTTTACTCGAACAATAATGGTGGTGCCAAATATTACGGATTAGTAGTACTAAGTCAAGGCCTGCTCGCTGTCATCGCTTACATATTATTTTTATCATTGAAAAATTACGAGATAACTTGGAGGTTTTAATCTTTTACCAGGTGATTCACCTATCTATCGACTTAGAATATACAGATGGTTTAATTCTACCTAATTAAAACGTGATACAACTTTTTTTAAATCTCATTGAGAAACAAAGCAAGCTTGTTTAGTATCAATTTCTCTTCTTCTAAATAAGAAATTTTGCTTTATGAATATAAAAAAGGTATCATATTGAATATTAGAGTCAAGAGTAGGACAGACCATTTTGATCAACCTACTAAAAACTTCTTAGTGTAACACAGAATATAAAATGACAGCTGAATGAGTAAAAATATCCCATGAGTGACTTTGTTTTATTCCGTTCACTTACGACTAATAGAAAATTTAGGAGGTTAGAATGCAGCAAAAATGACTCCAGATCACAGTCTACCAAATCAGTCCCTTTAATATGTGATAATCCTGCAGTATGACGAAGGATATTAGGGATGCCATGTCCCGACTAAATAAAATATAATCCAACCATTGAGATTCATTATAGTCCATCATACAACAAATTAACTCCACTAGTATCATACAATACAAGCCGGTTCGCCGTAATTAAGATAACGGAGTGGTTTAACACGAAATTCATTCATAGTTTAATGGTTCCTTATGTCCTCTGGTCGCACACAATCGCTTGGTGAATCTTCATTGCCTACATCTGTTAAGTGACCGCTTACTCCAAAGAGCTACTGCAACTAATATATGAGTAGGCAGAGCAAATACCAGACATAGATGTAGTATTGTTTCACATTGCATTGATTTCTGCGCTCAGGAACTGCTAATCACGAAGGAAATAACACATTAGTTTCTCCTAGAACTTTCAGTGATAATATTACTTTTAATTTTCCACTACTACTATTATTATTTGGACTTCTTTATTTTTCATGTGGTCAATTTTTGTTGTGATGATTTAGTGTAACATTTTGAACTGAATCATAGTTGCATCGCGGCATATATTGTTTATGGTTGACTGATATGATGGGGATTGTTCTTAGGTGTGATACAATACACATACTGCATCTTTTCAGAGTTACTTTTGCATAAATAAGAGACAAATTTAATTTCTCCTACTTTTAAATTCTACGTACGTATAGCTCTCTGAATATCAAGCTTTGGAGGAAAAATTACGTAATACACTTATTGAACTCGCTACTCGAGAGCGTCAGCTAACCGCTGGTGAGGCAGAATTGGTACGCCTGAAACAAGAAAATGCAAGAGAATTAGAAGTCAAACGTAAAGAACTGAATCAACAGTCTCAAGTTCATGTTCGTGATTTAGAGAGTCAAATCAAACTAGAGAAAAAGAACACTGAACATTGGAAATCACAAGTAAATATAATGATGTTTTTCCCTAATAAACTGTAGACTTTATTTGTCTTGAGTTTAGGATATACTGTTTATGATCATAAATATCAAAATTTTGTTTGATTTATAGATTACCGAATGGAGAAGTAAGTATGCTTCTTTAGAAGAAGAAAATAGCAATTTACGAAATGAAATAAATAATCGACTGAAGAAATCGACAGATAAAACATCGAGTGAAACATCTTCAGCAAATAATGAAGTAGCCCGATTGACCGCAGAACTAGCAGTTGCTCGAGCTACACTATCGGAAACAGAATGCCGTCTAGCTGAAGTAGAACGTGGTCGAGCAAGATATCGTCAGTTATGGACGAACTCTTTACGTGATCTAGCCAAGGTAAAAGAAGAAGCAGATGAAGCTACTCGAATTTCATTGGCACAAAAAGAAGCAGAACTTGAACAATTAAAGTCTTACTATATGAATGTTGATGATAAACGACCGACTAGTCAAGATTTAACAGAAACAACAGATTCGAACTTGGGACAACAGTAAGTAAATATTTGAGATTGGATTCTGGATTTATACATGTATGAACTAACCAAATTATGATATTTTGCTAACCGATTACCTAATCTTTTCACCTTTACTTCTAGACGTAGTCATATTTAAATAACTACATTTTCCTTTAATTTTTAGATCAAAAAAGCAATACCAATCTACTACTGAAGCGAATGTTTCTGATGTTAAGTCAGAAGTGGATGCGAAAATAGAAGCACAAGTTGCTCGACTCATTGAAGAACGTGATGGACTACTAAGTACTGGTGTTTACGAAAACAGTGATTCTTTGATTGTTGACCTCGACCGACAAATAAGATACCTTTTAGAAAAAGCATAATTTTATTTATTTGCTTCTTGATAAGAAGCACGACATTACTTTTGATCAAATACATTTTTTGTAAAGAAATCCAAGCAAGCATCTTTGTACATAGTGAACGGTTTATTAAATGACTAAAGGATGTACTAATTTCGATTTTAAATCCACATGTTAGACGTAGTTTACATTTTACATAACGAAATGTAACGAATGTTTTGATCGAAATACCAAACACCACTGCACCTACTACCAGCAGTTGCTTCCTTCCAAAAAAGGACGTTTGTATAATCAACGAATGTTACCTCTCGAGTCCGCTCACATCCATACTGCAATTGTGAGTTGTAGGTTAGACTGATCGTCATTAATCTCGTGGACTGATTTCGGATATTGATTTGGTTGTCTATCAACTTCCAGCTTACACTAAAGCTCTTGGTGTCAGTGTCAATTACATATGTCTTAACTAGCACTTCGACGGGCAGAAAGTCATTTATGGCTACGTTGAATTCGAAGTGAGGCTCACCACTCTAGTGGTCCATGAAATGATTCCAGTCTACACAAATGATCTCTACACTTAGGCGAACGTCGTTTGTGCGACGGTGGTTATAAGAAGCCATATACGGATTCCGTTGGATGGGTTTATTTCTTGCAGTCGTCAACACAGACAGACATGGGAATACGAAGTACAAAGGCAAAGAAGAGCGGAGAGGGCGGATCAGCTAATTCAATGCGATGAGGCATGACTAAATACTTATAGTAAAAAAATAGGCTGGACATAGCTCAAAACCGTTTGCAATTGCGCGGGTGCAGCATTCATTCTTTGTGTTCTCTCAAATCGTGACCTTTTTAATTCCTCATCACTTTAACTTTTTTAAGTTTATTTCACTAGATTCTACTTCTTCAATAATATCTTCGAACCCTAATCTCTCCGATTACTGCTAATACCTTTAACAGCACTACTACAATGGGATTACAATTGACAATTTCATTTCTGTGCTAATGTCGTATGGCAACTTGAGCTGATGTACGTACGTACGAAGTTCTACGTTGCTGTTGATTGGACATGTATTAAGCGAAGTAAGTAATGCGCACACTCACTCAAGCAAAAACAACCAAAGATATAAGCGAATGATCGACAAGTTCGAGAGATATGTGCATAGTAACTCGAGAAGAATGGACTGATTAATTTGTTCAAAGCTTGGGTTAAGCCCTGTGTGCTGTATATATTAGTAAGCACTACACATCCCTAGGAAGTTGCATTGTCGGCCAACGTGTCTAAAACACTCCACATCCTCCCAATAACTTGATCAAGCAGAACTGTGATTATTACAATCAATTGTTTCTGCATATGAAGCAGATTTTGACATTACCATTTAGAGAGTTACCTCATATCTTACTTGTGTTGAAACCAAGGCTTTGACGCGACCACTAATATCCAGGTGCAGTAACTATAGTGGATTGAATTCGATAATCTTTTTAGGTATCCTTTTATACACCTTCAAATTAAGCACAGAATTCTTATGAAACCTTAGCTCTTAGAAGTTCGCTTAGTTCAATTTTTAACTTGTTGATACAAGATTATTTTAATATTTCCTGATATAAACTGGACCTAGTCCCACCATAACTTAAATAGAGCAAGTGCAAACGTAACAGAATAAGACGAATTCGTTTTATTTTGTGATTTCTCATCAAGCTGCATATAGACTAAACATGGTAGTATTCATTATTTAAAATCAGTTTTATATCATAATATCAGAAATGTTGTCTACTACAAAAACTAGTAATGTAATAAATTTGAAAGAATTCTAAATAATCAGATGCTATGAAAATCCTAGGAGAGACGATTAGCATTCATAGTTCCGTGATAAAAGAAAAAGGGATTGATTGAAAAAGTTAAGTAATGCTTATATAAAACTAAGGAGTTCATTTGCTCACAAAAGATTATTACAAACAGAGGTCTCCAAGGCAAAGCTGGAGTGACGACACCGTCCTTTTAAATACAGAAGTCTAATTTACAATCTTTGCTAGCAATTGTTTCGAAAAAACCCTGATAAGTTCATAGATGTTCATTTGTTAATAACTTTGAACAATTTCGAATAGTAATTTTATGTCGACTATCAAGTAGACAATGAGAAATCAAACTTTTGAAGGCAAGCTGACTTCACAGTATCAATTTTTGAGGAATATGCTCATTTATGCGAACATTTACTGTTGTCTGTTTTCCCAATATAGGTGCTTCGGCACTTACAATTAAAATGGTATTTATAATTGGGGGTAATGTAATGTAAGTATTTGTCCCCTTTCAAATGTCTTAATGAACTCTCTGCTTGATATATTGAGACCAGTTTTGATGCTGGATATGTCATTTTCAATGCATCTCCAAGTCTAGGATCAATCTAACCAGATAATTCTTCACCTCTGAATTCAAACAATATGAAAACAGGTTTTTTTTCTCCACTGTAGAACATTTTTGATATTTAGTTAGAAAAAATGTGTTGACTGATTTTCAGTAATGAATAATATCACGTTTAGGCTGTATACAGTTGATGAGAAATCACAAAACGAAATGAATTCACGTTATTCTGTTACGTTTTTACTTGTTCTATTTAAATTCACCAATGAGAAAAGCTATGAATTTTCTGAAAAAACATCCACCATAACTTTTTGATAATCTTTTTACATGCGATTTCGACTGTCTTAATCGTTGAAAGCAGCAATCAGTCTTTTGTCTTGAAAATTTAATTTTGAATTAAATTCATAATGATGCCCAACAAGACAATGAGAAGTTACTAATTAAAAGATAATGTTTGGAAAAGACAACAATACCAAGACGGTTACATTTAGCGAAAGGTCTCTCGTGTTACACTTCACATGTAAAGGAAAATGAATCTGACCGATATGTTTGCAGCTATTCGAGTTCACCTTACTCGGTAAACGAAACGAAGATCAATAATGATTCAGCGACACGATAGGCTACTATTATCCGATACTCCGAAGCCCCACTAACTAGAGGAAGAAGTCTTGATAAGACATAGGGAAATATATTCCACAGGCAACTATAAAGTACGAGGTCCACAAGCACACAACTCAAGCTTATTTATACAATAGTCACAAAACAGCTTACCAAAATAATCCAACAACCAATGAAAGTCACGGATTTCCGAGTAGGAAATGCAAGCTGAAGGTCAGAATGAGTGTCTTTAGCACGAAAATATAAAATTAAAAACTCCAAAATTAGGACCTTTTCCAAGTGAGCGATGGGGATCTAACGTTCCCAATAGTGACCATTTAGAAAAACAAGCAATCGTTTGCGTGATCTGACATGAAATACGTTAACGCATTGACTGGCCTTCAGGATCCATCAGTTACCAAAGCTGTTGAAAACTATGCACTGAAACGAGGAACGAACTACCGGAACGTCGACGATAGTTAACACTCTTATTACATACCGAATATTATGTCCTTGAGTTGTAAATTACATCCAAAGTGTGGAACGCTTTATCGTTTCGTTTCACAACACAGAAACAAGCGATTAGTACCGAAAATCTAAATTCCAACTGGATTCATTTTGACGTTACTGAAGCTACCGGACCCGGATGAATCAGTCAGCAAAGTAGAACTCCGTGCGTACATACAACATTTTGAATTGCCATATCACGATAGCACAGAGTCGCGATTACTGGTTCAAATCCCATAATGCTAGAGGTAGTAGAAATATGAGCAGTAATCGGAAAGATTAGGGTTCGGAGATATTATTCAAGGAGATTAATTCAGTGAAATAATGAGAAGAGAAAGGTGAAGGTCATGAGAAATTCAGATTAGGATATGGGAGAAATGAAAGAATTAGTGCATCGGCACCTCTGCAAACGGTTTTGAGCAACTTCAATTAGTCTCTAACTTTCGTCTCGCGGACCCCAGCCAGGCAGTTTACATCTACCGACGTGACTCAATCCACTTGTCAGTGACTTCATGGATTTGTGACATGTTTTGCTCTAGCCGCACCTAGCTTCCTTCCAGTCAGTCAGTCAGTCAGATGCAACGTAGAACTTTGTACATAAATACATCAGTTCATGTTGCCATACCACATCAGCACAGAGAAGTAATCGTCAATGCAAATCCAATAGTAGAAGAGGTAGTAAGGGAATTAGAAGTAATCGGAGAGGTTAGGATTAGAAGATACTATTCAAGAAGTATGATTCAGTGAGAAAAGTTTAGAGAGTCGAAACTAGAGGCGTTGAAGAATCCAGAAGATTAGGATTTGAGAGAACACAGAGAATAAATGCACCGGCGCCATTGCGAACGATTTTGAGCCATGTCATTCAAGGTCTCTAACCATCGATTATTATCATCTCGCGGACCCCAACCAGGTAGTCGACAATTACCGACATGGCTCAGTCCACTAGTCAATGACTTCATGGATTTCTGCCATGTTTTGGTTTGGCCGCCCCTAACTTTCTTCCAAACTACTCCTACACTACAAAACAAAGCTCTTCGAGGCAGTCGGTGGTTCGGCATACGCAAGATATGTCCCAACCACCTCAACTGATGAAGTTTCACCACTTCATCGATTGATCTGCCATCCTTGCGTAGTACTCGTTTCCTAACGACAGCATTGCTTACTCGGTTGTCCCACGGTATACGAGCAATGCTTCGAAGACACAGATGATCGAGTACTAGTAATCTATGAATATCCTCTATTCTTATCTGCCATGTTACACAGCCATAAAGTAAGACGGAGCGAACCACTGCGCAGTACACTCGTCCTTTAGTCAGCAAACGGATATCTCGCCTACGCCATAAGTGACGCAGGTTGGCAAAAGCCAATCGAGCGTTCTGTATCCGTGCTGAGATTTCGTCAGTCACCAGGCCATCAGCACTGATGAGACTCCCAAGATAAGTGAAGCGGTCAACACGTTCGACTACTTCACTCCCTATCACTAGTTCAGGTGCCGATAAAACCCAATCTTGAAGGAACATTTTGCATTTCAAGGGGGAAAACAGCATCCCAAACATGCTTGCATTGTTGCTTATGGTAGTCAGAAGACTCTGCACTTTGTCAGCGTCTTCACCAAGTAGGACAGTGTCATCGGTCAATAAG